ACACAAACACACACACACACACACACACACACACACACACACACACGATGGAATACTACACAGTCATAAAAAAGAACACCCATATCCTCTGCGGCAACATGGGTGGAGCTGGAGATCATCATCCTAAGTGAACTGATTCAGAAACAGCAAACTAAACACCACAACATTTATTTCCACTTAGCTCATTTAAATGCAGGAGCTAAATGGAAATAATTGACACTGGAGACATCAAAAAGGGAGGAAGCAAGGAGAGGGGATAGGGCCCAGAAGTTTCCTATTGGATACAATGTTCAATATCTGAGAAGTGGGCCACCTGAGACCCAATCTCCACCACAACACACTAGGTCCCTGTAACAAACATGCACATGTACCCTCCCACATCTAAAAGAAAATAAAACTATATTAAAAGAAAGAAGCAAAAGTAAAAGGCAATAGAGTTTGACTCTGTCAGAATCCCAAGGTCATTTTTTCATTATACACCACGGTGTCTAGTATGCTAGTCATTCATTCACACTTACCATGGGGCTGCTGAAAGCAGCCTGTCTGGAATGAAGCATTTCACTGCCTCCTTCTCCACTTCCTAGAGTGAAAGAGCTCCCGGCGACATGAGTGGAGGGCTTCCTTCCCATAGGCCCATTATGCACTGTCCTGCAGCTATGGTTTCTCTGTTTTACCATATTGCCAAGGGAGCCGCCAAGAGTGTCTGTAAAATCTTCATCTTCAGAGACAGCTTCCTGATAGGACTCTAACCTCTTGGCTGAAGGATAAAAAAATCACAGAGTCAACATCTGAGAAGAGCTTGAAAGTTGAATATGACAGGCAGTTACTTAAATGGCTATTTTACACCATCTCTTTCCCTTTCCATAATGGCCGCCAAACCCCACCCCTATACCCTTCATTAATGAACTTTCCTCATATGTCATTGAGAAAAGTGGAAGCAATCAGATAGGAACTCCCTTCTTTTCCCATCATCAAATCTACCAATTTACCTGCAGCAGAACTCATACTCTCAGTATTTCCGACTCCTACTATGGTTGAAGTGTTCCTCCTTGTTTCAAACGCCAAATTCCGCCCTTTTGATGGATCCCACCTTGCCAAACTCCTCAATGTCTTCACTCTTACAATTCTTCCTTCTTTCATTAACACCGATCTCTCTTTAACCCATGACTTTCTGTCCCCATCTCTCCACTGACTTCACGCCTGTCAAGGTAGCCAATGAACTCCCTGTTGCCAAATCCAGTGATCCTATCTATCCTTACTGTGTGTAAACTCTTAGTACTATCCAACAGAGCTGACCATCCTTTCCTTCTTGAAGCATCTCTTTTGGTTTCTCTGATACCACACACCAGATTTCCTCCTATTTTATTGGCTGCTGCTTCTCAGCTTCTCCTGCTGTCTCTACTTCTCAGTCCTCATATATTGGAGTGGAGCTTTTCTTCTCCACCTACACCCCCTTCCTTGGTTATCTCATCTGGTTCCATCCTTGAAATATAATCTCTGTGCACATGACTGCTATGTAGGTATAAACCTGAATTTTCAGCTCTGATCTTGCACTGGAATTTGGATTCATGTATCCAACCTTTCACTTGGGTGACTCAGGTTCTTCCAGGAGACACAGGTGTGGATCACTCCCTTTCCTCCTCCAAATTTCTTATCATGTACCCTGGGAAGTGATCTTCCCTGATTTCCCTGATCTGGCCACACTATTTATGATAGATCCTACACCAGGACTTACTACTGTCTACATGTTACATATCCTATTTATTTTATTTTATTTTATTTATTTATTTATTTAATTAATTTTATTTTAATTTTTTTTTGAGTTGGAGTCTCACTCTGTCGCCCAGACTGGAGTGCAGTGCCCGCTCCCGGCCACCGCAGCCTCGACCTGCT